AATCCTAAATCCTGAACCCTAAACCCTGAACCTTAGACCCTAAACCGTAGAGTCCTAAACCCTAAATCCTAAACCCTAAATCCAAAACCCTAAACCCTAAACCCCGAAACCCCTGAACCCTAGCCCCTAAACCCTAAACCCCTAAACCCTAAACCCCTAAACCCTAAACCCTAAATTCTAAATCCTAAATCCTAAACCCTTTTGCAACAGGCTTTCCACTTCGCCCGAACCCTAAACCCTGAACCCTAAACCTTAGACCCTAAATCCTAAATCCTAAACCCTGAACTTCAGACCCTAAACCGTAGAGTCCTAAACCCTAAACCCCTAAACCTTAAACCCTGAACCCTAAACCCTAAAACCTGTATCCTAAACCCTAAATCCTAAATCCTAAACCCGTAAATCCCTGAACCCTAACCCCTAAATCCTAAACCCTAAACCCCTAAACCCCCAAACCCTAACCCCTAAACCCTAAACCCTAAATCCTAAACCCTAAACCGTAGAGTCCTAAACCCCTAAACCCTAAACCGTAGAGTCGCACTGCAGGCAGCTCAAGAAGTTCACAAAGAGCGACCTACCCTTTGACAGCGCCAAAAGTAGCGACTTCTACGAACCCCTACCTTAACCCCGAAGGGTTTAGGGTTTTAGGGTTTAGGGTTTAGGGTAAATACCCTACCTTTTTGAGGACTTACATAAAGAATTCACATAGTAAGGGGCCCTAAAAAGGTAGGTTCTTTAGGGTCCAGGTAAATCCTGAACCCTAAAGCTTACCCGAAACCCTAAACCTTAAAGTGGGTTTAGGGTTTAGGGTTTAGGGTTTAGGGTTTGGGGTAATGCAGGGGCCTTAATACTTAGACTAGGGCAAGGTTTTGGGGCCCAGCATACTATAGTTACAATAAGGAACCCCCCAAGAAATATAGGTAACTATTAAGGCCCCTATATTCGAAACCCCTAGACCCTAAACCCCTTTCGTAAAGCCCCAAGATTCGAAACCCCTAAACCCTAAACACCAAACCCCTTTCTTAAGGCCCCTATATTCTAAACCCCTAAACCCCTCTCTTAAGGCCCCTATATTCTAAACTCCTAAACCCTACACCCCCTTTGTTTGGGGTAAACCCTAAAAATATAGGTAATTATTAAGGCCCCTATACGAAACCCTAGTCTTAAAGTGGGTTTAGGCTTTAGGGATGAGGGTTTAGGGGTAACCCTAGTCTTAGGTTTAAGGTTGATGGTTGAATTCCAGCTTTCAGGTCCAAGAGATGGAAGACTAAGAGCCCGAAAGACTAAAGCCAAGGAGTTTTGAGAGGTGCTGTAGAGGCCTTCATAATTAGAATAGGGTTTTTATCAGGGTTCCACAAGGGTTACTCTAAGGGTTGAGGGTGTAGAGGCCTTAATGATTAGAAGAGGGCTTTGGAGTATATTATATTAGGAAACCTAAAAAATAGTATAGGTAATTAATGTTGAGGCTTTTATATTACGTAACAACTAAAGCATAAACTAATCGTCAACGCCACCCTGAACATCCCTTAATGCAAGCCTTAAAGGAACCCAAGAATCGTGCATGGCCTGTCGTAGCTTTCCTTGCACCTGCAACAAACAAGAGGCCCCAACTAAACCCAAAACCCTAAACCCAAAAAAGAAGGACGAACGGACGAAAGAAAGCTCCGCTGGGTGACTGGGCCGCTACCAAAGCTCGCAATCCACTAACACCTAAGCTACGGTCATTCATAAGGTAGAGGATATTATACAAAGAATATATAACATACTTGATACTAGCTAAGTATATATACATATTTTTTCACAATTATTCGAACCACGGAGAACCCTGCACGAAGCCGCTGCCCGCTTTTTTCGCACGAGAATCCGGTGCAAGAGATCGACATTTGGCTGCTCATGATGTGGGTTCCGGACATGTGTGCCTGTGCCCACCCAAAGTACACTAAGTACAAAGTTCAGGCCTGCTTGAGGGGCGAGCCATGTCGCCTGGCATGACGGCATATACCCTAAACCTTTAACGAAGTTGTCACTCAAGGCTGTCTCAACACGACAGTCATTATCCCGAAGACCCCCCAAAGCCCTGCGCGTGGGACAACCCGCCTGAGCTTGGCGCGCTTGAAACCCTACGTTTCATTCCCCTTTTGACCAAAAATAAGAATCATAGTGTTCACGAAATACGAACCATGTTCTTCATAAACCTGGGCACATACTACAATAAAACTGCAAAATGCCTCGAGGAGCTCCAAACCCTAAACCAGCCCAGTTGGAAAACCCTAAACCCTAAAACCCTAAACCCTGAACCCTAGGCCCTAAACCCTAAACCCTAAAGCCTGAACCCTAAACCCTAAACCCTGAACCCTTTAAACCTGAACCCTGCTCAGGCTTGCCGGGCCAGCTCCTCATCGCCAATTACAAAGGGAACGCTTTGAGCGTCCAACCATGGAAATCCCAGGCGGCTAACCTATAATTAGAATCCGGTCTTCAGGTCTCTTCTACTGAATTTCTATCGAAGTAGAACGACGTTTACATACTATCAGGTGACATGTTGACAGCTTCTTTAGACCTCTTTACTAGCCGAAGCATAGTTCGAGGAGTTCTGTTGAATAAATTCGCACCGGTTCGAGGACCTCGGGAGATGCTACCCCGGCCGAGGGTTTAGGGTTTAGGGGCCAGTAGAATAGGGTTTTGGGGTCCTTCATAGTATAGTTATAATCAGGCACCCCCAAAACGATATAGGTGATCATTGAGGCCCCTATATTAGAGTTTAGAGCATGGCCCCAAAATGGAACGGCACGCCTGGCCATCGACTAGAGTTGCGGAGGTCCTGGCACGATCAAATGCACCGGGGATATAGATATAGATATATATATATATATATATATATGATGCAGGAAGCCCTTGCAAAACCCTCATGAGGACCGATTCGAAGCTTGAGCCCAGCTCATTATTCCCTCCCTGGGATCCCCATCCTCTGCCAGACGATTTAAAAGGGGAGCGTCCTGTCTTTCCCGGGCCGTCCGTGGAAGTTGTAGGCATCATTTAGTTGGGTTTCTGATTAGTTGATTCGTGTTTGGCATGTCATTAGGCACCTATACAGACGAGAAGATACGGCGGTAAGACTAAACATGAGAAAACAGGACCGACGCAGAAACAAGCAATTGCTAGTGGTTCATGCTATTCCTTCATGCTGCGATCGAGCCTAAAGGACAAAACGAATGACTTGCAGTTGTTGCCTGGAACTTCGACTAGGCTTGTGCAGGTTATAAACCTATAAACCGATCAAGCTAACATAGCAAGGGAGATCACTCAGGCTCCCATATTGGCATCCCCGGCCCGTCTGACAGAACACCCCTCCTTTGACAGACTGGTGGTCCTGCTCACGCAGCTCAAAGAAAAAACACAGGGCCGCTGCCTTCATTGAGGCAGTCGGCCCACCAGCACTCAGCGAAAGACTTTTGGGCTTGTGGTTCCAGAATTGAATAACGCTTTGGCGAGGGTAGAGTGTTTAGTAGGAAGGGTTAACCGGACAGGCTGAGAGAAATGGTAGAGCCAGCTATAGTGTCCAGTGTGGACATCAAACTGGTTACATATTAACCCAAGATCAACAAAGGAACCACAATAGAGACTATGTAAGTAATGCTTGTAGTATGAAGATCGGCATCTGTCGACTTTGCCAGCTTAGCTATCCGGGGGGTTACGACTAACGAAGGGATGCTAAGCCCGATAAATTACCAAGTCTATAGAACATAGAACTTGCGCCCGTCTAAGAGCCGATGCCGAATTCTGCACTCTTTTACCAACGGACCCTTTAGTAGGTCCTTGAATTCCGTCCTGAATTCTGGCACATCCTTCCTGTAAGGTACTGCCATAATGTCCTAACTACTACACGCCGGTAACCAGGCGCCTTGAGGCCTGGTCCGCTGCGCCTTGATAGTGCACGAGACCATGGGACTTGTACGCCTCCAAAAAGCGTATTTTTCGCCGCCCGGAGAGCCCAAGACAAACTCCTCAGATTACTCAAGAACCCCTACCCTGGACCCCAAAAGTATGTAGAACAATAGCCTTTTTTATAGGTATTGGGCCATTCTTCTACCTACTTTTGGGGGGTTTAGGTGAACCCTAAGCCAAGTAAGAACCCATCCATGCAGTCAAATTTCAGATCCGTCTAAGACCCGAGGGGTCTTCGTGTTCCAGCCGACTACAAAGCGAGAACGCAGTATGGTTTTTGGTTTAGGGTTTAGGGTTGAGGGGTTTAGGGGTTAGGGTGTAGGGTTTAGGGTGCAGGGTTCTCTCGCCCGGAACTGCCGTCGCCGTGAAGCAGTCTTTTCCCTAAATCCCTAGATATCCCTTTTCAACTCTACAAGTCCCAGACCCTACATGAATCCCTAAACCCTAAACCCTAAACCAGGAATGAAATCTTAGAAAGTGCCTTCAACCCGATAAACCCTAACTCTCAGAGCGCCTTAGGGGCTTTCTGGGCGGTCTAGCCACGTCTCCTCAGCTCAGGCGCCGCCCTGGAAGGACGCCTTCTTCGCCTTCTGTCGCCGCTTCTTCTCGCCTTTATCACACAAGTGGCCTGGGCGCATAGGGCGGTTTAGGGTTTAGGGTTTAGGGGGCTTCAAAGTCTGCAAGGCGTAGCATCTAGGGCCTTAGGCTTGTAGGCCTGAGGGTTTGCATTCACGCCGGACTGTTTTCCGGATAGCAAGTACCGAGACTTCGGCCTGGTTAAAGCTCGGGGCATCAGGGTCATACATCCAGAAGAATCAGAAAACAAAAACAAGTACCAGGCGGACGAGTCACAGAAAAGGCACATTGCGCCATTCTGGCAACCCTTGGCATACAAAAAGGCGCAAGGGCGGCACTCCTTAGCCGTCCGGACGTCCGGGAATGCGATTTGCTAGCTCAAGGTGGGCTCTACTGCGTCTTGCAAAGCCCAGGCAGCCTTTCTATTGCAAACAACAAGCGTTGTCTAAAACCAATCTTTACATGGGTATTCTTCGCACAGGCGAAAGCTGCCGCAAATGTACAAGCTTAGGATTTCTGCTCACAACCATAATGACAACAATGGCAAGAACATGTGTAGTTCTCCAAAGCAGGGTCCCTCTGTAGGTCCCCAGAATAGTACGGCACCCTGACTTATAAAGAAAGGACCCCCCCCCCCAATATAGAGAACTACCCGCTAGCACCCTTCTAGAAACCCTCAAGAACCCGCTATAGATCCTAAGCCCCTAATACCCTAAACCCTAATCCTAAGCCCCTAATCCCTAAACCCTAAAACCCTAAACCCTAATCCTAAGCCCTTAAACCCTAAACCGTAAACCCTAATCCCTAAACCCTAAGCCCCTAAACTAAACCCTAAACCCCAAAACCCTAAACCCTAAAACCCTAAACCCTAATCCTAAGCCCCTAAAGTGCAGGCCAAAGGGGCGCCGGAGGCGTGGCCCTCAGAGCCGATACCTGGGCTTTGAAGTAACCAGGGAGACAAAAGTCTAGACTTCTATTTCATATATGGTTCCTTTAAGGAACAGGTCCC